CAATGAATAAGGAAGACCAAAGAATTGATGCTTTTGAGTTGTGGTGCTGGCAAAGAATGCTGAAAGTACCGTGGACTGCTAAAAGAACTAACATATCTGTCCTGGAGGAAGTACAGCCAGAATGCTCCTTGGAAGCGAAAATGGCCAGACTTTGTCTCACCTACTTTGGTCATGTTGTCAGAAGGGACCATTAGCTGGAAAAGGATGTCATGCTTGCTAAGGTGGAAGGTTGACAAAAGAGGGGAAAACCCTCAACGAGATGGATTGACACAGTGGCTGTGACGATGGGCTCAGGTATAGCAAGGATCATGGAGCTGGCGCAGAACCAGGAGGAATTTCATTCTACTGTGCATAGGGATGCTATGAGTCGGACATGACTCGACGGCACCTAACAACAAGAACAAGCATTCCACAAGTACCTCATTTGAATCCTCTTTGTAACCTTCTGAAATGCAAGGGTTACTATCCAAATCCTATGAATTTATTAATCCAAAGTCACATAACTAGGAAGTAGCAAAGTCAGGATTCAACCAGGCCTGCCACACACCCTCCCATGTTCCACCAAGTGCTGTGAACACTCTGAACCCTGTCCCCTCTGTGTTCTCCACATCAGGCATGTGGCCATATGCTTTTGTTATAGCTTACAGCTGACTATCTCATTCTTTTCAGAGCACATAATTAACAATTCTTTCTTATCTGACACTTAGAGGTGGCATGTTGAAATGCAAGCACAAGAATGGCAGCACTCAGGATCATTAGCTATTACAGAGATGCAAACCAAAACAATAATGAGATACTATCTTGCTCCAGCACTAGCAGCAAAGTTCAACAAGACAGAAAATAACAAATGCTGGAGTGGATGTGGAGAGATTGGGACTCTCATACACTGCTGGTGGGCCTGTAAAATGATACAACCACTGTGGAAAGCAGTACGGCGAGTTCGAAATAGAAAAGCCATTTGATCCAGCCCTTCCATTACTAGGTATATATCCTAAAGAACTGAGAACCATGACAAGAACAGACATATGCACACCCATGTTCATCGCAGCACTATTTACAATAGCAAAAAGTTGGAAACAACCTAGGTGTCCATCATCTGAGGAATGGATAACCAAACTATGGCACATACACACAATGGAATACTATGCAACCCTAAAGAATAATGTAGAATCTGCAAAACATCACATAACGTGGATGAACTTGGAGGACATTATGCTGAGTGAAATAAGTCAATCACAAAAGGATAAATATTGTATTAGTCTGTTACTGTAAAAGTCAGGGAACGGTTTATATATGGAAGGAAATTTTCTTTGTTGGTTACCAGGGGTGGGAGGGTAGGTAGGGAATACTGTTAGATAGGTAGAGATAAGTATTGATTTGGGTGAAGAGAAGGGCAATGTACCAAATGTGAGTGAGCAACATGGTGGCATTAAAGAAATGGAAGACATAGAGAGGTGCATTGGAGGTGCACACAACAAAGATGAACCCTTTTGCACATACAGTACTGTATTGTCAGTGAAGGCAAACATGGGTATACAGGTGGATAGATGAGTGGACAGGCTGAACTATTAGGTATGTCTATGCAGCAGGGAGTGTACCCAAGACCAT